GGTAATTCAGGTGATATAGAGCCAATATTAGCCTGCGTACAAATACTAAAGAACAACTTTCTTTTTCTCATAATTTGTAGGTTCCCTGTGAGTAAGATCACTTAAATTGTGTTTTAAAATACGCGTGCAAAATAATACCAGAATTTGAAACAGAGTCTAATAAATGTGTCTTTTTATGCTTATTAGAATGTGTCTAACGATACACCTCTGAAAAATATATTTTATCTCGGACATAATTAGACGTTTAGGCTCAATAATTTTATATTCTGATTTGGCATAGGCGAACGTCTATTATTATGCACAAATATCATTATTATTCATTATTTCATAATTAAAGAGAGTTTATTTACACATAATAGCTATGGAAAGTCGATAAATGACCATAAACTAAAAGTATTCGGCTGACGATTATTACTTCATGTCCTAATAAAAAGAGAATCGACCATAAATTATGTTCCATGAACATTTATTCCTTCATATGTTCCTTTCTCTACTGTCTAGTCAAAAATTGTTCCTCTTAATTTCTTTGTCTAATACTCCCATTTACAGACCATATAAATCAGTCATCTTTTTTCCAATGTTCATTTTCCTAATGATGGTGTGTGAAATTTCTAATTAATAATCTACTCGTGTTAATAAAGAATGATATTTGTGTATAATAATAGACGTTCGCCTATGCCAAATCAGAATATAAAATTATTGAGCCTAAACGTCTAATTGTGTCCGAGATAAAATATATTTTTCAGAGGTGTATCGTTGTAGCGTCGTAAATAGAAAATGTTATAACTTTGCAAAAAAGTACCGTGTTTGGGAAAAAAGAAAGTTATTGCCGTAGTCAGCGCATCACACTCTACGATGTAGAATATATCCCATTCGAAAACCTGCGTTACACTTGGATAGATTCCCTCGTAAGTATGAAGAAATTCCTTTTCGTGTGGAATCTTCTTACACTGCGGGTAAAAAATGCCGTAGTAAAACATCGTAATGATTGAAAAATGTATCCACTGTGCATAATGACACTATTAGAAAGTGCATGCTTTAACTTGTTTTCTCATCTTAGGCGCCATTCAGATGTCTCCGCGTCTTGAGAGGTCACTTCTAGGCACTTAGATGTTTAACTAAGTTGTATACCAATCTACAGAAACAACATTCGACTGATCCGAATCTATTTTGGAGCGTATCTTTAACTTATTTTGTGTGTAACCCATTGCGAGGAACAGCTAACTCAGTGGAAGGTGTTGTCACTCACATGACTCAAAAACTAGACAGAAACCTTTTTGGAAAAATAGCGTACCATAAAGTCCAGGTCGAATACTTTATCCGTAATATAAATCAGGAAAACTCACACTTTAATTGAGGTTATTTTAATTAGCCAAGATACGAATTTTGATGATATCTCTTAGCAATTGATTTTCTAATCTTGAAGGAACACACCTTTCAGCATTCCTATCAAGAAACGTTTTTAAAGCTCTTCAAGTAGTTTGATTAAAAGGTGAGATATTTCAATTTCGAATTCTACTAAAGCAATTAAATTGTTTTAATAAAATACGAAATTAAAGTATCTCCCCTTTTATTCAAATTTTATCTATTTCATATCGGTCAAGTGTTGCCCTATATGTCTTTAAGTAGTGTCAACATCATCAACAGATAAAAAGGAATTTCGTAATGATGAGAGATCAACGTATGATCTTAGGCCATCCCAGTCAGTGTTTCTTGTCTCCCATTTTTGTTGGCATGATGTGGAAATTGAAGGAAATACACATAGTACAATGCCATGATAGGAACTACCCAACGTATCAAGAATGCGGATCAGTAGGTGTAGATAACATTAGCCAAACTTTCTCCTAACTCGAGATCTATGATCGCGAAAAGTTTCACGGCTCTACGACAAGCCGTTCCAGAAAAACAAGTATTATACTATTATTATATTTTGCTTTTTCCATGCATGTTTAGTGCCTCAAGGCCTTTGTACTAGCGGACTTGGAAGTCCAGTTTTAAATCAAACTTTTGGTGCAGGTGCACCTACATTTAGTACAGCAACCCCAGCTAGCCTTGGTTTTAGTACTACTTACACTCAAAGATTTAGCCCCACGACGGAGGATGGTTTTTTCAGCATTTGCAATCAAATTGAAGAACATGGCGGCGCATGGCACTCAGGAGGCGACCACACATCTACTGATGGGACTGGATATATGCTCTTGGTTAATGCTAATCTCCAACATGGCGAAGTTTTCACAAGTACCATTACTGGCTTAATTCCTGGAAAGTTTTATGAATTTGGGGCTTATATAGCCAATCTACTTCTACTCACACACCAAGCTGCCAACCCTAATATCAACTTTGAAATTAGAACCATGGATAATGTTTTGGTGCAGACGGTACCTACTGGCGAAATACTTCCGACCGCTAACCTTACGTGGAATAAGTACGGTACATCGTTTGTAGCACCTAATTCGTCGGTTATATTACATATGATCTCAAATGCTAATGGTGGCGATGGAAATGATTTCGTTGTTGATGATATAACAGTGGCTCCTTGTTTAACCCCAGTCTGTGGCGGTTACGTACTTAACTGGGGTCAACAAGCGGACTAAAAGAACCTTGACAATATTGCGATGATTCTTTACTTGAGGTTAATATATGTAAAGTGGGTGATAGTTTTACTAATGGTATTTTCTAATGAATAATATGAGTTTCAACATTCTTTTTGCATTTTTTGTTGTTTTGAAAATTGATTATACTCTCATGTAATGGTTTTGTTTTTGTGTATTCTCTTTCACTGTGTAACTACTATCCGTTTCAAAATAGAATGAATGCAGCATTTTTCCAATAACTTAGCCAGATAGACGATAGAACCTGCAGTTCTCATCATTACGTAGTAAAGACCGGGGGACATTAACCTCTGAAAGAAGCAAAGTCCTGACTCCAACTTTATCTTGATCCGATGCATCGCACAGTATATCGACCTCTTCAGCTAGTAGCATTTTCTTCTAACCTATAAACGACAGCAACTAGATGAATCTAGTATTACACCCGATTATGCATCTCGCTGCATCGGGATACGTAATTATCGCATTAAGGTCTCAACAAAATTTTTAACTAGATTCATCCAGATATGAACTGGGTATGTCTAGATGTATCTAGACACGAATCTAGTGCAGCTAGATACACCAATCAAAGCGACTATTTTTGAGTAAATTTTTTAAAATCCAGTTCCGTCCGTCAAGTCATATTGAGCGATTATGAATCACGATAGAAAATCTTCTCTGTTCCGAAAAATCCGAAATCTACAAGTTAGATTTGTTTATATGGTCAGAACTGGATTGAAAATGTGAATAGTCCTTTAGCCGTATGGAATTTGTAACAGATTGTCTACTTTTAAGAAGGAAATGAAGAGAGTGATAAACTGCATGTTAAGAATGTATTTGTTTTTTGAAACTTATTTATTTTTGTTTGTTTCTCTTTATTTATTCTGTGATGCAACACAATAATGTTAATATTGTTCACCTCTTTTGGAACAATAAAATAATTTAAGATATAAAAAAAGAAGTCCTTTAATCGATTTTAACTAAAAACTGAGCATCTTCCGACGCTCAAAAAAACAAGATATGTTTTATAGAGTTTTTCCAGATAATTTAAGCTTATAAAATTTTGCCTTAAAAGCACTTGATGATGACTCATCTAAAATTACACAAAGGTATTGTAAAGGTGTTCATAGAAGTAAGTGTAACTAATTTGTTAATAACTGTAAATGCAGAAAGTAGTTGCGAACAGTCTTACTTTCAAACAGAGGAACACCTGATTAAAAGGCCTAAAGATGAAGTAATGATTCACTTATCAGATCTACCCATATAAATATTCTCGATATCTCAAACACATTTGACTGCGCGAAACAAACGCTAGATATGTTTTATCAATATTCATGATGAGCTTTTATCCGGTTTTGGGGATTATTCTGATTTTAAGCGTTTTTCTTCTAAACTATTTATAGTTTTTAATTGAATCGTTTTTTTCTATAGAATCACCGATATCATCCTGTTCTATCACATCCGAAAGGTTGAAGCCGAAAACATACCGACATCTGGTTTAAAGGTGATTTTTAAAAAATATATTCTCTCAGGATTTCTAGAAAACTTTTTTAAAAGACTCTCACCCTTTTCCACTTTGAAGATCTGTCAAACCACCACATTTGTTCAAATTTATGGTACCTTTTTTAACAACTCCTTGAACTCGATTATTGTTATCTAAAAGTATGTAAATTACAAGAATAATGTTAGTCAAATATACGCATCTACTATTTGAATCCCTCTATCCCTCTATGATGGAATTGAGGGATAGAGGGATTTTTTTTGAGCTTGTATTGCAAGATGGCAGATTCGAACTATATTTCTCTGAATCAGCATTGAAAACTGATTTAGAAAAGATTTTCAATTCATTTCAGAGGTATACCTCTGAAATGAATTGAAAATCTTTTCTAAATCAGTTTTCAATGCTGATTCAGAGAAATATAGTTCGAATCTGCCATCTTACAATACAAGCTCAAAAAGTCAATTTCATCATAGAGGACGGTTTTGGGTATTTTTGAGGTTCTCACAGTAATTTGAGTTTTTCTCCATGAAGAAATGGCTTTTGAAGGCTCGGAGGGTGTTATTCGTAATCAGTTCGTTAAGTTGAATCTGAATATGTATAATAATGCCAAAAAAAATTCCACTTGAAGTTTGCATTACGTGCATCTTACCCTCTTCACGGAAAAATTTATTTTTTGTAGATCAGGAGCGGAAACACTCAGGATTCCATACGTAATTCTCAATTTTCTACACCAAAATTCTACTTTTATGAAATAAAAATATTATATTCGGGATAAGTGTCAAAGACTGAGTCGAATGATGTACTTTTTCATCCTACACGATCGCTTCTGTTTTTTCGAATTTTTCCGCCGAAAACTTATTGAGATTTTCACCAAGAAATGAAAATCAGCCAGAAGTTTTGAAATACATATCATTCAACTCAGCATTTGACGCTTATTCGGAACATGATATTTTTATTTCATAAAAGTAGAGTTCTGGTGGAGAAAACTGAGAATTACTGCAGAATTCCGACTCTTTCGCTCCTGATTAAGAAAAAATGAATTTTCTCAGTAACAAAGGAAAATGGAAAAAGAAACGATCTGTACTTTTAGAACTCGTTCAATCGAATTTGTTATTGGGCGCAGACGTTTATTATGGTACGTGACATGAACAGGCGTCTGAATTCGACTTCGACTTCGATCAAGCATCATTGTCATGCTCAACCTACACTATATTTTAACAGGCTCTGTAATGTACATATTACCGTTTTCAGTTACAAAAATATCTTCAGGTCGGCGCAAATACTGATTTCTCATTACCATCGGCAACAGTTGTTCCATTCAATGAACCCGATTTGAACTTTTGTACACGATGGTTTACATTATCTACCACATATAATACATTGTTCGAGTGCAAATCCATTCCAACTGGAATATCCAATTGATTCTAACCCGAACCTGAGATTCTGTTACCAGCTACAGGAACGCCTTCTTGTTTTTAACATGCTGATAAACTTATCAATGGAGAGCTCGGCAGATTGACCTTAATTCACAGAAATCGTCTCTGATATAATGGAAGCATGCCTTGTGAAACGTATGAGTAGAATAAGATGCTCGTAGGTCAAACTCAGAGTGAAATTTCTTTTTGACTTTATTATACATAGTCTGAATCGCCAGGTTGAGCTGATCACGAATATCACCTTTTTAGTTCGAAAAAATGAAATCTTGACGGAAAAAAATGCGAAATACTGAGAGGAGGTCGAAAAAGCTAAAAACTATTCTTTTTCAGACAATGGTTCACAATTTTTTCCCTTTACGTTTTTACTTATTCTCATTACTATTTTCAAATTCTACGTTGACAACTGATTCTAGAGAGGTCTCTTTCAATGACTTTTAGTCAAAACTGAAATTTTAGCTGAGCTCAGAACTGGCTAAACTCAGCGGTCGATACCCTCAGCTTGCAAACCTATCTAGTTTTTTGGGTTAAGGAATAGGTCCCCATTCACATACCGTTAGATAGCCCAAGTGATAAGCTTTAAAAGTACGGAGAGACTTGTTCGAAGATGTTTTTTCCTTTTTTCCGAAGATGTTTCTTCCTTACTTCTAAATTTAATTTAATTTTTAAACGGAAGGAAAAACGGCCAGGCCGTCTTTAGCCGACTTATTCATTATCGACTCAAAAATGATAAAAATAAATCGCTATAGGTTCTTAGGCGCCAGGAATTCTTAAACTAACACTCAGTATATTTTGAAAGTGGGCTAATGCTATCATTACGCCTAGTACAAAAGGGGAGATATATCAGCTGTCGAAAATTACCGTTCAATTTCCTTGCTTTCAGATATAAGCAAAGTATTAGAACATTTTCGACAGATTGTCTTCGTATTTAAACAAAAAGTCTTTTTTAATGACAATTAATTTGATTTTCGACCGCAGTCGTCAACGGTAGACCCACTTACATATCTCACACAACATATTAGTTCGCTGATGAATTGTAACACTAAGGTAGTAGGAGTTTCTTTTGACATAGCATTTGATCGAATAAATCATAAAATTCTTCTTCTCTTTCGAGTAGTCGAGTGGCGTAAAGAAAACAGATCATCATAAGATTGCAGCTATGGAGAATAAATCTCACATCTCATATAGTAGTAAATGCTATTTCGGTTTTTTCTTTGCTCAAATACAATTAGCTTTCAATGTTTTATATACAGAAATGTTGCTGAGGAAAAGAGCTTTCAAGCGGTATATAATAAGTATGGTTAACTGTGAAACAGAACGACAAAACATGGTAAATACGATTTCCACTGGGCTTCAAGCCGAGAAAATGCTCAAGTGATAAAATTCCTTTTGAGAAGTAGCTCTAAGGTTTCGACGATACCCCGTTCGACTCCTCTAGTGACGTTGTACCTACCCTATGAATAAAACTGAATTCGATTAATCGGCGGATTTCATCACAAAACGGTCCCTTCTTGCCTGTAACTTCAGCGTTTTTTAACTTATCGAAAAGAATTTTATGATTTACTCGATCAAACGTTATGTCAAAAGAAACGCCTACTGCTATAATGTTATTGTCCATCAGCGAACTAATATGTTGTGTGAGATACGTAAGCGGGTCTACCGTTGACAACTGCGGTCGAAAAACCAAATTAATTGTCATTGAAAAGACTTTGTTTAAATACGAAGACAATCTGTCGAAAATTAATCGTTCTAATACTTTGCTTATATCTGAAAGCAAGGAAATTGAACGGTAATTTTTGACAGCTGATATATCTCCCCTTTTGTACTAGGCGTAATGATAGCATTAGCCCACTTTCAAAATATACTGTGTGTTAGTTGATTCATGTGATGATATGATTCAGAGTGCAAAACTAACCTATGATGCGGCAGTTATTGGTTTAAATAATATGTAAACTTACGCAAGCAAATATCGAAAAGTCAGTTGAAATCAGAATAGGCATGCACCAATACAATATATTGGGTCCCAATAATATTGGTCACCCAATCTATTGGAACCAATAATATTGGTCACA